TTTAATTATATTTTGAGTTCACAGTGTTCTATTGATATCTATCTATAAATAAAGCACATTTCAAAATGCTGATCCAATGATATTTATATGTTATTAGAAGATACCTGAGTAGCCGAGTGGTTCGCACGCCGGTGTTGCCATCTCTGAGGTCCTGGGTTCGAATTCTGGTCAGAGTGCGACCGCTAAACTCTCTACCCATTATTCTAGCCATAGGATAAAGACATTCTGCCGCGATATATCGATTTTTCTTTTCAGTTTTCTACTTTACTTTAATAAATAACGAACTACACATAATTATGGATTGACAGCAGTGTTACCAACTTACTCGTTTAGCAGTATAAATTCATGGCCATTCATGCCGAAGCGTGGCTCTCCCGTTAGTCCATCACTAGACGCATTAGTTAATTTCTCTCGACCGGAGTGATACCACGGCCTCACAGAAAACCGACGTGAAGCAACGCTTGCGTTGTGTTTCGTCGTGTGAGTGAGGGCACCGGAGGCCCAACCCCTCCCTATTCCCTTCCCTCTACCCCTCAACCCTTCCCTCTCTATGATCATATTCGTCCCTCAAAGGCCGGCAGAGCGCTTGTAGCCCCTCTGGTGTTGCAGGTGTCCATGGGCGACGGTAATTACTTACCATCAGGTAATCCGTCTGCTCGTCTGCCCCCTATCCCATAAATAAATATATTATATATCGCCATAACATCGCTTAGATGTCGTATCCTATGGCAGGAATCATGGCTAGAGTTAGACATGGACTTTTCTATATTTTCTAGAGTCTGGTTAATGTTGTCTCAAATGCTCCATAATGCGAGGGCTTTAGGTACTTATCTTGGAGTCTGAGTAATATATGTGATGTTGTCTGATATTTATTTATTATAAATAAATATTGGCAGGTCTCTTAAGCATAACAGGCGCCCGGATGCAAGCAGTGCTCTGGCGCCCTCCCCCCTCAATTTCCCGAAGATCATCAGCACGGCGCCCCCCAACACGTGTCGCCCGGGTTTGCACCCCCCGCACCATGAGTAAAGACGGGCCTGGATATTAGACAACATCACATACATAGTTTAATGACGTAGTGAAGAAATTAGACATCGACTTGTTCAATACATCAGCCATTCAGTTAAAACGTATGCTGACAAACTATTATTTCTTAAGTATTGCCTAGTATATTACCTCTTTACTGTTTTTTCGTATCGCACTGTTTCTTTTTTACCATATGTGAAAACTTTTAAATGGCCTTCAGCATATATTGTATTGATATATCCTTAAACACAGCTGTAAGTTTTCTTTAAAATAAATAAAATAAAATAAAAAATAAATAAAATAGCTCAGATTCCCAGATGAGGAAGTAGCTAAACCACATTTTTATGGAGTACCGCACCGTCTATAGTACGGTATTACAACACCGAGACCAGAGACAATATAGTAACCTTCATTTTCTAATTTCACCCGATAGTATTGTTTTCCTAGATTCGTTCGCTTCGTTCGTTCAATATGGAATCCGAATAGATCACGTTCACGTTATTCCAAATACAACTGAAAATATCTCATTGTGTTCCCAACTCTTTATTGTGCGGCAAACAATGAGAAATAATTCTGTATGAAGGTCGCTTTGTCAGTGCCTACCTCGGCGGGCGTCTATGTCTCCGCTAATAGTCAATGGTCGTGATCCATCTATCGCTGGAAGGGCATCAATCACTCTGTCAACGGCAGGGTCGCAGGAAAATAATGCTGGAAGCTTTTACCCTCGGTTATATGTCGCAAGAGAAAATATCTTTCTTTCTTCAAAAGATTATTTACAAATTCATCTTACAATTCCAACAATTGTAACAATAGAAATAAAATCAATGAACTATTTCAACTGAGCCATGACTCTATTTTACTCTCTTTTATTTCTATACTAATAATATTATAAACAAGAAAGATTAGTTTGTATAGAATAGGCTTCGAAACAGGAATACCGCTTTTAAAAATTCTGTAGCTACACATGGGTGATCGATCACACATACACACACACATTACACACATCGCACGTACACATTCATACGGGATCAACATAAACTTTAATTTACGCATACGAAGTCGCGGGAAAACGGCAATTTATTCTATAATCTAATAATTCTATTCATTTAAGAGTTTTTAATGTTACCAACATGAATATAGAAAATTTTTACTTTGATTACGTTCACTGGTTGAACTTTACGCTAAAATTAGCGGAACAGAAGCTCTACAAGTTGCTGTTGTAAAAATATTAAAAATAATTTCTGTATAAAGTATCAAAGAGAATCATATTAAGTTATTACCACAGATAATATAATACTACTAGCTTTCCGCCAGCGGCTTCCCTCACGTAGTCCTATATTACACACACATCTAAGTCTTCCTCTTGAATCATTGTTTCAGACTTCGTTTTTATATTATATGTAGAAACTAAAAAATAATGTTCAAATTGCGGTTTACATAAGCAGAATTATTTGTTAGATTCTTTTCCTGTCATGTGCCCAAATATAAGTTAAATAAGTAGAAAAAAATCACATTGTTTTGAATATATTTGAGCCTCAAAAATTAATATGACAGTTATGTAAATTACATTTCATTTCGTAATAACACGTAATATTATACCAAATATATGTATTTCAAATATTTTTAGTCTATTATGAGCAAAAAAGTAACTTTTTCGCATAGAACCCATTGCTTCGCTTCTTACTGGTTGCACTCACATACGATCTCTTATTTTGTGATTTTAAAATATTTTATCATAGATATAAGAAGGTTTAATGTAGTTTTTTACCTTTAATAAATATCCAATTTAGTATCGATCAGAAAATATTTGTCAGAACAAATAGCTTATTGCAATTTCATTAAAATAATCATATTTTTACATTTATTAACATGTTAATTCATATTTACTTTAATATTTAATAAACAAACTAAGAATGTTGGTAGAAATCAGTTGTTAACCACCGGCTACCTACATACCTACTGTAATTGCACCTATATAATTAAAGCCCTAGAAATCAAAGGCAGTATAATTTGTTTCAAGGGCAATTCGATAGGGACACATACCCAAAGTATAGGTATACAATACGTATATATCGTATCGCTATCTATAGACATCTGTATCTTTTCCGTGATGTACAGCGCGCCATATATAACATAACGCAGTACTTCGCGGGAACGATAAATACACTTACGGATAGAGATACTTCTCGAGATTGTTTTCTTTAGACTCACATAGATAATATCTTTGTCAATGTCTATTTTTTCACTTACGTTAGTATTAAGCTATTTTTCATCTTATCTCCGATTATGATTGTGGGTTAAAGAAGATAAAGAAGAAGATATTATACATGGTATTGAATTTTTTATTATTTTTTTATAACTGTCGCAGAAAGGAAAACTGGGTCAGGAATGAAAAAAAAGCCGTAATTGTAGAAAATGACAACCCCAATAATACGAACAATAAGCCAAAAATGTTTAATGTCATCATATTATAGTTAAATTTACATTGCGTTTATCGTAACACCAAAAACTGGACACCCACGATACGCTCGCGTGACGCTTCTCCACTAAACGAGTAAAAATTTCCTAAAAAAATCCTTGCTAAATCAGGTAGTACATACATATAATACGTTTCGGATAGACCGCGCCGCCGATGACGCGGCGCTTGCGACGTGGACCGGTACCAGTGTCCCCGTCGCCACCTCCACTCCTACCCTCGCCGTTCACGATAACCCCCTCGTCCCCACAACGACCCCTCTCGCCACCACAACAACCCCCTTTCCCTCCACAACAACCCCTCCCTGCGGGCCCGACCGGGCCGCCTCAGACGAGCCTAGGGCAGCCACCTGCGCCTCACTACATACTCCTCTGCGACCGGACACATCGCTCCTAATACGACTACACATTAATTGTTACACATATCACACAATATTAGACAATAAAATAATAATGAGCGTACTTAATATTTCATTTGATCAATGCATTAATTCATATATTGGTCTGACTACATCTAAACGAATGCTTCTTTATCTTTAGTGGTTCTATCTCTTTTTATTGAATAATAACATCATATACTAGAGCGAAAGAGCTTGTGATATGTGCTATCAGTATGCGAAAACTGATCGAAGCAAGCTTTCTGGTTCCAATATTACAGTTCAATTTATAGACTTTGAAGTGGATGTGGTCAGTCCCTACTTGTTTCTTTTTATATTTATCGATGGCACACTTTAGACTGATTCAAAAATGTAACAATGAATATAACTAGGATATGCAGCGCTGATATGTTCTTTTACTTCATATTGTCATTTATATTTAAAAAAAAATGCAGATTTATTAACATAATTAGTTAATCTCAATACATTGTTGAATAAAATAATCTTACAGATTTTTATAAAATTTCACATCTATTAAACATCGTCTTGCAAACTGAAAAGAACTTCTATGTCATATTTACGAATTGAAGAAATGCCATAGCTAAAATGAACTACCAGTAACACACAAAACAATTGCCGTATTGTAAATGTATACGATGTTTTCAGTTTGCATGACATCTTTAGATACTTAGCTTACAAAACTTATTATCGGCAGGACATGACTATGGCTATATTCATATGGCAAACGGATTGACAAACTGACTACATCTATCAATCTAGAGCCATATCTATCATTGTGATTTCTCTAAAATTGTAAAGCGAGATATTGTCTCTTGTATTGTTTATTATAAGCTATACGATTAGATTAGAACTATCAGTCCATAATCAAATATGTATGTATATTAAATAGGAGGTCCTGTTTCAGTTACTCAATAGGTAAACACTGAAAGACAATAGATGTAGTCAGCGTAAACCGATATGATTTTTGATAAGTTTGCCGTTACAATGGTATGATATAATATAGTGTGGTATGAGCGCGGTGTCCGGGCGGCAGAGGCGTCAATGTGTCTGGCGGGTGTGGTGTGCCCTACACGAACCACTCGTCCTTGTGCGGGGCGGCGCTCAGCGCTGGGCCCGCGCCCGCAGGCGGCCCGGACGCGGCGCCGTGTGCCCGCGCGGGCCCGCAGGGAGCGCCCAGTTTCCCGGCAGGCGAGTGTCGCCCGCACGGACCGGCGAGCTGCCCGGCTTGCCCGCGCCGTTGCTGCTCGCCATCTGTTGCACTGGAAACGAACGAGATTATTATACACCGCTATTGAAACGATAAAAGGATGTCCCGACCGCAATGGAAGGGTTATGTTTATCGCGCGTAACTTGTATGTATGTAATATTCTTTATTACCTCATATCTTCAGAACCGCTGGACGGATTTACATAATTGAGGTATCGTTAGATAAACAACGTTAAAAAACAAATATGGCGGCTGTGCGACACCATTGTACTTAATAATATTTTTTGTTTAAATACTGCAATATGTGTCAATACAAGGATTTAATAGGGTCTATTATGATTATCCTATTTCATTTTGTTCTTTCTGAACCAACTTATAAGTAAATTAAAATAATAATATAGTCTCTCCTTTTGCATGGCTACGTTGCATATTTTTTTTATCTTGGTCCAGCCTTTCCAGTTAGTTGTTCTTCACGCAGGCGCATTTTTTTATTATTTTTATTTTCATATATAACATCGCATTAGCCTCTACAGCGGAGCGATCATATAATTTAACTAGCTATAACCAACCAAAGGCTACTACGTCTTAATTAACATTATGACTAGATTTCGTTTCATTTTACTAGTTTGACAAGTCTTTTACTGCACAAATTAGGGATAAATTACTAACACCCGTTTTCACTAACCTAAAGCAAGGCATAGCCTAACTTGGAAACATCGAAGCTCATAATTCGCCTAAACAAATGAGTTTTATTAAATAACGTCATTAAGTTAATGAAATTACGACAAACGATGGAAATTATAACAAGATAATAATCACAATTACTTCATCAAGAAACGTGTATCGTATTAGACTTACTTTGCAAATGCGTTCGCTGCGCTACAGCGCGGCGGCGACAGTAGCAGCAGAGCACCGCCGCTAGGAGCGCCACCAGCGCGGCGCCGCTGCCACCCGCCACCACCCACGTGCTGCCGACACCGACACCACCACTTTCTGTCGATATGATAACACCTCACTTCACTAATAGTGCAAATATCCACACCCACATTTGACCGATTATTGGTAGACCGATTATTGAAGTTTATTTCTACGAATTATGGACCCACCGCAAACAATAATCAGTAAAAGGTGATGAAGACGGACTATCAATTTCTTTAATTGCACATATTCCATGAGTTTTCCCGCGATTTTAATTTATAAGTTTGTTTGTGCAAGTAAAAAACCTTAAGACATTTTTTACAAATAAGATAATGAGATATTAAATTAAATTAAATAATTTTATTCTAATGTAATGATTTATCTTAGCGATGAGATTGCGCAGTCCGTTTGTAAAGATTCATTTTACGTGTAGAAAAAAAAAAAACTCGCACGAATTTTCGGTTTATACAAGCGATTTGAGGCTTGTAGAGCTGATTCTTTCATCAGCGGGTCTCTGATAAGTCCTAACGATACCCTATCGATATTTAGTCAGTTAAAGGAACTCCATTTGATATCGGGATTCGGCTCCAGCGTAGGACTCTGACACATGACAAGACTAGCTATGGGGAACTTTAATACATGAGCCATCTGCCAATGAGGAGAGTCTGGCACATGGCCGGACACTAACTCATGATGAGATTCTAGCACATGAGTGGACTTGGACACGTGGTAGACTATAGCACTTGACGACACTCTAGCACATGAGTAGACTTGGACACGTGGTAGACTATAGCACTTGACGACACTCTAGCACATGAGTAGACTTGGACACGTGGTAGTCTATAGCACTTGACGACACTCTAGCACATGAGTAGACTTGGACACGTGGTAGTCTATAGCACTTGACGACACTCTAGCACATGAGTAGACTTGGACACGTGGTAGTCTATAGCACTTGACGACACTCTAGCACATGAGTAGACTTGGATACGTGGGTAGACTCTGGCACTCGACGTCACTCTAGCACATGAGTAGACTTGGACACGTGGGTAGACTATGGCATATGACGGGACTCTGGTACATACCGGGACAGAGTGCGGCCGTGTCCTCATCGGAGCCATCAGCGCAGTGGTCCACGCCGTCGCACATCAGGTCTGCGCTTACGCAGAACTCTCGCTGCTTGCACCTGAATGCCTTGCAGCCATGTTCTGTAACAATAACACATCAATATTAATGGATTGATACGTGTACAAGACCTTTATGAAAAATGCACCACAAAATTTTTCAATGATCTATCTTTATTTTTTCGGAGAAAAAAGCAGCCCTTGCCGTGTTTCTTGCCGGTTCTTCTCGGTACAAGGTCTCCCGCCGTTGCTTTACGAACCGATGGCGTAGCTCTCGACTTTCACAAGTGCTTGTACAGCCTAACTGAATCTAAATTATTTAATTTAGATTTTTTTGTTTATAACTTAATGACTTCTATTTCTGTTGGTGTTGAATAATATCTTTTGTCAGTCATATCAAAATTTTATTGACCTTGTTACAGAAAACGTTACACTGGGTATATAAATTCATTTTCATTTATATAATAATATTATTATAGATATAATACTAACATATAGCCCGTGCGGAGTTCCATTATTATCGTCCTAAAAACTGTTATATGTCCATCAATATTACAATATTTTTCAGTATAGCATTGTGAATGCAAAATTTATCAAAATCACTAGAATGATATTAAATAAATATATATTAAGCATTAAAGGGGATCGCTATGTTATAACATTATTTTACTACTTTGACATTCTCCATAGCATATGTAAGGGTGTGTGACGTCATGCGATATTTCAACTCAATGTATCGGCGTACTTTATTGATTACGCAAAAAATAAAAATATACTTGTTTAATATTGTTCAATAATTTACCAAAAAAATGAGTCATTATATGTACCTACATATTGCAGCTTGTAGCACGGGAGTCAATTCTTAAGGCGTAACATTTGAGTATTTTGCATATTTATACTTTCAAAGAAATACCTACCTATCTACTAATCAACCTACTTCGTAGATTATAAGTACAATCGAACAAACATCTCAATGACCGTTGTAATAAATGAAATACTTTAAAGAGATTAGCGCCCGTTTGATGTTCGGGAAGGATCACAAAATGGAAATAATAAAAGTTCATTTTGTGATTAATTCCGTTTCGACCCCTGGATTAGTATCTTGAAATGAGATTACGGAACACTGACAAAGAATATGGAATCCTGCTACCGTCTAACATCAAATTCATAATCATCATTAAACTATTAAAATGAAACTGAATGTCGCCGGGACATCGCTAAGATATCGTATCCTATCGCTAGAGTCATGGCTCGAGACAAGAGTTAGGTATTTGTAAGGCGATCACACCATATTAAGATTATGGCCATATTACGATTGTCACATATATTTAATACTAGCTTTCGCCAGCGGCTTCGCCTTCGTGGTCCCTAGGGAAATGTTAAGTGGGATAAAAAATATCCTATTATCAGCTAATACCCTACCTGTATACCAAATTTCATCGAAATCCGTTCAGTAGTTTCGGCGTGATTGACGGACAAACATCCAAACAAAGAAACTTTCACATTTATAATATTAATAGGATTATAATAATGTTAAAATAAGATAGTTTTTGTTATCACCTTTGTTTTTTAATAATCGATAATACTAATTAATAATAATGTAGTGGTGGTGCCACATTTCATTGTGCTTTTGAATAAACAACTGTCAAAAAGCAAAAGAACATTGTACTATTATTAATGCCCCCATTTTGTTATAAAGAAATCAGCTGACTCACCATCAGAAATCTATACTCATACAATGGACGGCTAACGATCTTTCAAAACAAATATGGCTAGCGATTCTGACCCACAATGTATATTATAGAAGATTGATAATTATCATCGGTTCACAATGACTATCAACTACGAATACTAGCAAATATCTGTTAATCAATTATGATAGTATATTATGAAACCACACAAATAAAAAAAACTTTTTCTATTTTAAAGATATATTAGGCGCCTATTTACTTATAGGGTAAGGTGGGGCACAGTGTGACAAGGGGCACAGTGCGACACTCTCAATATCTCGGTCTCTTTTTACCATATCGTTAGCGCTTAGACACATTTCAGACAAGCGCATCAGATTCCACCTTGGAACACTTGTCAATTGGATTTTTATTTGCACGCTGTAGAAATTTAACGAAAAAAAGTGATTTTGGCCTATTTTTTTCTTATAAATTGCCAGTATTGTTTTCGTTCTAAGGTGTTGATTGATGTACTTATGTAAGTTAATGTTTTTTTTTCTTGAAAAGCCATTTATTTGTTGATAAATACGCGTAGATAGTTTGTCAGTATCGTAACCGACAAATTATTTTCTATGATTGTTTGTTTTTTTTTGAGCCTATGGGGTACACTGTGACGGGGCACTATGTGACAATGTCACAACTCTTAAAGTGCAATGAAGATAATTCGTACGATGTAAGCTAATAACATAAAAGCAATAAGGATGATAACAGTTTTTATTTCCCGCTTGAGCCAAATTTGGCGGTAGTTGGAATAGAAGATGTAAAAATTGTTTTACCTGAGCCCGAAAAGCCGCAAAAACCTACAAAACAACAAGCTGAATTCTATATTTCTCCTAAAAATATTTTAAAGAAGTATAATGTGCAATAAATCTTATTATTATAAACAAGTTTTCCTAGAATAAGTAATGTCACAAAATACCCCATAGTATGTCACATTGTACCCCGGATCCGGGGCAGTCTGTGACAATCGACAGATCTCAAAATTGTGCAATTTTAAAAATACTTCTAGTTATTTTTGGTATTGTTTTTTGGTGTCAAATGATAGTTTAAGAACTGTTGATTATTTTAGTTCCTTTTCCTTTAATAAATATTTTCAGATTTATAGTAAGTTTTTTTTTCTTTTTTTGTCACACTGTGCCCAACCTTACCCTACCAACATCGAAAATATTCCTAGCTTTTAACTAACTGAAGCAGTTTTGACCCCCAATGTATCATAGAAGATTTATAATTATTTCAGTTTGACTATGAATACTAATACTAGTAAATATGACTCAGTTATAAGCTAGGAATTTTTGATGTTAGTATAAGTAGATAGGCCTAACATCTTTAAAATAGAAAAAGTTTTTTTTTTACAAACTTTAAAGTTTCAGACTTCTTAATCGCACTGATTTAAAGTCAATCACCATCTTATATATTTATTTATTTTTCTTAAAGAACCAACAGCTAATCAAACAAGATAGATTATAGCAAAAAGCAATAAGGCAATTATGGGTTTCCACATATAGATATAGCTTAGATCTTATCAGTTGCTTTGGACAGTGCACCATAAATGGCAAATGGCACAGCGTACCTGATGCCATTAATTTGACGAGACAGTAAGTGATTCTACCAGTTTCCGCATAAATGAATTAATGTTGCAATCAAAGATGTCAACATCGTACCCACACTCATCAAGCATCATATTTAAGCTTACGCAGGCCCTAAAAATAAAGCTATTCTGCGTGTAATTTGTAGATGACGAGGTAGTAATAATATCTTTGCAACCTTATCGGGACTGAAAATTTAATGATATTTAACAACTACTATAAAACAACTTATACGAGGTTAAAACCAAAAGACATTATTATTTATTTTTAATTTCGCTTTCAACCGTTATATCTAAAATGAAATGTGATGAAATTATATATTAGATGGCATGATATGAAATGAGGCGAGGTAAGATAAGATTAGAATGGGTAAATTTTACTTTAAATAATTATATTCGCCGGGGAATCCCGAAAATGTGTTTAATTATTTCGATACACGTGTCCCGTAATATTATAGCAGCGATCCCAATCACCGGAGCGTCGTGTCCCAACAGAGAGCAGGGATCAAGGGCTTTGATCCGCGCCCCAACAACCATCTCTGAAACGCTTTGTTTAAAATTTCATTCGACCATTCCTCTTTGCCCCGTCATTCATAATTCAGGTGCTCGCTTCGTTATTAACACACACATCGACAGTCTCATGAATATGAAACTATTTAAACCTCAGATGTAAATATAACAATTTAGAATATAATATTGTTACTGAACAATAGGGATGACGACTGGGTAAAAAAAAATGCAATTCTATTTAGTCCGTCAGTCAGATAATAGAAAAATATTAGATAGGTATTTTTTTCCTTCAATTTAACAAGAACAAGCTCAGATAACAGGCATTAAAGTTGAGGAGTGGGGGCTCGCGACGTCATGCGAAATTTCAACTCCATGTAACGCCGTTATTTTATGATTACGAAAACAATAAAAAAGGACGTGTTTAATATTTTTTAACACTCTAGGGATGATGACTAATTTTTGTTTGATTGACGGACAAACAAACAAAAATTAGTCATCATCCCTATTGTACAGTATCTATTCAAAGGTACGAGTAACATAAGAATATTATTATAGAAACGTAATAAATATGTCGTACTCTAGGAATTCATTAGATCTTTATGTAATATCCGTTCAATATACACAACCAATCAATACTGCACCAAACTTCATGTCACTGATTTATAACTCTGTAGCTAACCTGGTGCTATAAAAAGCCAACATAAAGTCCATTATGATTTTATGACATGCTCGAAACGACAAAATTTTGATGCCTTCAATATTTTACTTCCGCTCTATAAGTACAATATAATATTAAACTTACATGTCGATTGGTAAAGTCACACCATGTATTCGTATATAGTCAAATTGCCTCAGTAGTTTAAAAAAAATGCTTTTTTGGAGTCAGTTTTAGTTTTTCTAGAGAATATTAGCAGTTTATTCATATTTTTATTTTACTTTCAATATTTCATGATAACGCTTCGTAACGTGTTAGATGTAGGTCCACCTCAACAAAGCTATTAAAGCTCGTTACCCTTAAAATGGGATTTTGAAGTCGTTTTCATCTGCTTTTAACTACATAATTCGATGCTAATATTTTGTAACACAGTCCCAGTAATGTTGGCCCCAACAAATCACCTTTAAGCACACAAATTAAATGTGTCTAAAGCTTTACTTAAATTACTTTTAAAACTGTAATCTAACACAATCGTCAAAAGTACTCAACTTGCATTTAATCATACTTTTACGAAGTATCCTTAATAATGTTATTTTGAGGTCGCTTT